TACAATGCATGATGCCTACAAGGTATAATTGGTAATTTTCACTGATCAATTATGACACAAAATCTATTCATCTTATTAGTTAGTCTGTGAAGAGCAAATGAATTTTCTGCTCGCACGCAATCTTCATCATGCACTAATTTATCTGTTAAAATGTGTTAGTACTATATTCGATCAAGTTCATTTTTCATCACAGAGTAACCACGTATATTGGAGAGTTATTGGAAACGTTGAAGATGACAAACACTAAATAAATGTCTTGATATATGTTTCATATTTTTTTCTCATTTTTCTACATCAACTAGGCACGGCATCAAATATAGGACAGTGAGATCTGGCTACATGCATATTACTATTTAGAAACCGTTGATTTATATCATCCAGTAGTCCATTTCTACAATTCTTCAAATGTGTGAAACTCAGATATACTGTTATATATATGTATATCTAGCTGAATGAAATATTATTGAAACGAATATTCCTCATTCACCATGTGTGTTTTAATGTGATGGGAATTCTCAGACTTTCGGATGTCCTCACAACATGAAATATATAAGATAATATACATCTACCGAACGAATGCTTGATCTGATTTCCTATGCAGTTTTAATAACCTTCATGCTAAATCTACACGGCAGCTTGAATGCACAAGAAAACGAACGAAGTTCTAAAACGGATACTTCATTCGGAAGTGAGTTTATGTACTGGGAAAATGAGGATATTTATAGAGTTACACATGAACCTGGACTTCGGAAGTTTCTGGAATCATACTGAATATAGCAGCCTTATGGGTAAGTGTCCAATCAAAACCATGGAGCGTGATCCTGCATTTTTCAGATGTTTCTGCTAGGATTATCTTCAACACTTAGACATTTCTAATTCATTAGATTCATATCGTACCAAGGGTATTTTTTAAAATGTCATTTGTAACTAGATAAAAGATGTCGATCAGTCAATCAGCTACAATGCAGAGCACCGTACGTACATAGATTAGTTCAAGTTGCCATACCATATTAGCACTGAGACGCAATTGTCACTTCAAATCCCTTAGTAGTAGAAGTAGTGTACTTACTAGAAATAATCATCAAGATTGCAGATTGAATATATAGTTCAAGATGTATACCCCTGAAGAAAATAAAGAAACGATCATGAGGAATTGAGAATAACAGGATGTGGGAGAACACAAAGAACGAATGCATCTGCGCCATTGCGAGTGGTTTTGAGTCATGTCATTCAAGATCTCTAGCCATTGATAACTGTCATCTCGCGGACGCGAAATAATGTTAAAACGCTAATTTCACATAACAATTCAAAATACTTGAACAGTTGTAAAAGTATGCTCAACTTCTTCTTGCTACTTTACAAACTTAAAAATTAGTGAGGCAACTTCTCCATAAAATATCTTGACCAACTAATTGAATGTCTACAAAAAGTAATGAATTCTTTCATCTTTCATGTAAATATAATGGCACGATAGGAAGCTGGACTGACTCTAGTTAACTAATTTAAACCTAATAAAAAACATAATCCATAGTGGCCGTTTAGAATTCGTAAAATATCAATGACATCTTGCATCTCAATAAACGGAACAAAAAATGACTTTGAATACTTGTTAGGATTTTCCCTAATCATTACATTATTTACATTATGTGTGGTAAGTAAGCATGTCATAGGTACATTTCTGGATAAAACATTATATTCGTCTAAATTTTCAGGAGTAGACCTGCTACCAGGAAACTTGCTCGTTGAATAAGAATATGCCAAAGGACGAGTGTACTGAGCAGTAGTTTGCTTGTTTTCGATCATAGATGTCTTTGAAGCATTGCTCGTTTATCCTGGGACAACCGAGTAAGCAATGCTGTTGTTAGGAAACGGGTGCTAGATAAGGATGGCTGATCAATAGATGAAGTATTGAAACTTCATCAGTTGACGTAGTTGGGACATGTGTTACGTATACCTAACCACCGACTGCCTCGTCGAGCTGTGCTTTACGATGTGGGCATAGGTTGGAAGAAAGCTAGGGGCGGCCAAAACAAAACATGGCAGAAATCCATGAAGTCATTGACAAGTGGACTGAGTCATGTTGGTGGGTGTTGACTACCTGGTTTATGTTCGCGAGATGATAGTTATCGATGATTAGAGACCTGGAATGACCTGGCTCAAAATCGTTTGCAATGGTGCAAGTGCATTCATTCATTGTGTTCTCTCAAATCCTAACCTTCTCAATTCCTCACGACCTTATCTTTTTCTCTTTGGGTTTATTGCGCTAGATTCTAATTCTCGAATAATATCTTGGAACCCTAATCTCTCCGATTACTGCTCATACTTTTATTACCTCTACTACTATAGGATTTGAGTTCGCAATTACATCTCTGTGCTAATGTGGTATGACAACTTGCATTGTTGTACTTACGTATTTCTACGTTGCTGTTGATTGATTGAAGTAAGCAAGAGATTAATGAAAATGCAGAACTGAGAAGTGCGACTGTAATATTGACAAGATAATCATAATAATTAATTTTAATGCACAAGTCTACAAAATCAAATAAATCACAATCCGGCCTAGTGGTCCGATGGTTAGGAGTTCGCTCACAATACCGAAGGTCTCGGGTTCGAATCCTGCGAGGTGTAGGAGTCGTGGATGCTGCACACTTACGTTCACACTACTACACATTCAACGAGAGATAGAGAGAGATAACGATAACAACATTTGCAAATCGAAGAGACAAGTAGAAAACTGTCAACTGATTGATTCGTCTAGTTCGTCGTAAGTACATTGTTCAGAATCTCGAAATTTTCTCCATAACCGATTCTATTCATCAATCATTACTCTCTCTTTCTCTCTGTCAGAAATACAAATAGGGTATATTAGCTGGGTATCCATATTTCGAATTTGTAACGAGAATCATCATGTAATCATAGGAGTTAGTAACTGTAGGAGTATATTAGTAATATATATATATATATATATATATATATATATATATATATATATATATATAAATCCTCCTGTAGACCCCTTGGGGCTATATATATATATATATATATGACAATAATAATCAATTATAATCATTGAACAATTGTAGAAACAGTATTAAAAAGAAAGAAAGAAAAAGATCACAAGTTTATGTGACAGTTGTAGTGGGCAATCATTGGCAAGAATTTTTTCTTATCGCATATCATAGACATTAGAAGAGTGTACACAGACATTCAGGTGTGTCTGTGCAGTGGAATGTACCAAACATCTTCTACCTGAAAATGTCATATATTGATTTATGATTTAAAATCGATATTTTGATTTCATTAATTCGCTTCCATTGGCATCTGAGACATAAAATAATCAATAGCCTTACTATCTTATGTAAATCTAGTAGTGTGGTATGATGACAATAGTCAATTTTGGACAAACGTGAAGATCTGACAATGCTTGACTTGAATATAAGGATTGTAGTACATTTTTTTTGGATTTCCGAAACAAAAACTTTCTTAAACATAGAAATGATACAATGAAAATCCATTATTTTATTTATTGACAATTTTATTTTTACCTGATCTAGTCAACTTTTTTTCGTTTTGTTCCATTGAACGACCAACTGTTTGATGTAACACTATTAGAAATCGGTTGCTGTTTATTGTCACATATCATAAACTGAGAGTTATTTCTTCTTTTGACTTTTTATATCGAATGCCTAGAAGTGAAACACTAAGAAAGACACACAGAGCATATGCTTGTTCTGACAGAATTCGGAAACTCTTTGTCAGAGGTTTTTATACTGTTTTTTTTGCAATTGTTCAATGATTATAAGTGATTATTATAACATATTTGAAATCATCAATCAATCGTTGTTAGAGCACCATTGGAAACCTGCAAGCACTGGACAGCCGTTTCGTCCTGGTACGGGACTCATCAGCAGTGCGCATCCACGGCTACTGAATCTCGCAGGATTTGAACCCGAGACCTTCGGTATTGTGCGCAAACGATTAACCTCTGAACCAGTGGGCCGGCACCCAATGGTGTTAATGTTTAACTCCGATCAATCTACAGATTTTGCGCGACCTCACCCATTTATCTTGGGTAGTTACTGCATAGGCCTGACAGCATCAAACTTCACTGGTCATGTCTCCTCACTAGAACTCCGAGAATTACCTCACGAAACTAATCACTAGTCATATATACACATATAAACATATTACTAATGTCATTACTCTTACAGTTGTTAACTACTGTGATTACATGATGATTCTCGTTAAAACATTCGAAATATGATACCCAACTGATATGGTCCTATTTGTATGTCTGACAAAGAAATAGATAGAGTATAATGATTGATGAATAGAATCGGTTATGGAGAAAATTTCGATATTTTTGAACAATTTACTTACGACCAACTAAACGAATCAATCAGTTGACAGTTTTCCACTTGTCTCTTTTCAATTTGGAAGCGCTCTTATCGTTCTCTCTCTCTATCTCTCGTTTTGAATGTGTAGTAGTGTGAACGTACATGTGCAGCATACTGATTTATGGCTTAATAAATTTCTATGAAAGCGAATCTACATGTAAAACACACACACACACAATATGTAATAATAATAACATGAAATTGTTATTATATAGATAGTTTTAGAAAATATTTTTTTCTCAACTTTATTTTTCCCCAACATCACTCTTATTATTATTATTATTTTTATTTTCTTTACTTTTATTGAAATTCGTTTTTTCTTTTTTTTTCTCAGTAAAAATAAATCATTATATTATAACAAAACTAACAGTGAAAAATAGATAAAAATAAAATGTATATATAATGTGTTGTTATTCAAGTCTCTTCTTCATTAAAATTAAGAAAGAGGGATAGCACACACACACACACACAGAGAGAAACAAAAAAAAGGCGACAGAATGACAAAATCTCTGGGTTTCCGTGTTAGTAGAGTTAGAGTCATGGTATCAAATAATTTGGTAATGACAATTAGCAATAGTATGTGAATATACTAATAACCTGTACGTATATATGTATATATATATATATATAAATATTGCAAAATAGAAAAGAACTTGAGCATTAATAAGAAAGAAAGTAGAGGAAATGATGCTGACAAATAAATAATAAAAGAGAAAAAACCAGCACACCCATAGAATAAATAAAATAAGACTGACTAGATAGATAGATATAGAAGAGCAAGCAATTGAACAAAGTATACATGTAGAAAGAAGTTTTGTATTTTTTTTTTTGGTTTTTCTTGTTTTTTTTAATTATTTATTTAAAATAAGGAAGAAAAATAACATAAAATAAATAAATAAGAGAATCAAAAAATCTTTCTAAAAATTTCCCTAGCAAAAAAAAAGAAAACTAAACAACTTCAGTTGCAACCATACTAGGCATAATATTCTCTGCAATTGAACAAGCTGCTACTACTATGGTCGATGATGTTCCAACTGGAACAAAATTTGTACTGGATGCTGGTGATTCTTTCAATACTGAATAATTATTATGATTATTATTATTATCAAGTTGAAGAATATCTTTATCATTCTGATGATGCTGGTCATCATTATCTCCATCCGCTGAAGTCAATAAATGATTTTCAATATTCAGAAATCTACTACTATCTAGTAGTTCATTATGATCATCATGATCATCATCATTATCTGTATGTAAATAATTGACAAGATTATCATCACGATGTAGCATTGAATCAGTGAAATTATCTTCTTCTAAGAGTAAATTTACCATTTGTGTAGAAAGTAAAACATCATCTAGCAAATAATCATTGTTATTATTATTATTATTATTATTATTATTATTATTATTATTATTATTATTATTATTGGTAATGTCATTAGATGTTGGCATTTGAATGCTACCAGTTAAATGTCCATCTGTTTTCATGTTCACTGGTTGTTGTTGTTGTTGTTGTTGTTGGATTTGATACTGATCAATAGGATTAGAAACCGCGGTCGATAATAATCGTGTTAAATTATTGTTTACAAGTAAATTGTTCGATTCATGATTATTAAATGTAATGTTTCCTCCATTCACCATTGATGAATGATGATATTGATTGTTCCAATTAGTGCAAAGAACTGATGAATTATTAACAGTACAATCTGATTTCATCATGTCCATGTCATTTGTGGTTATCATTGTTATATTGTTGTTGGTGGTGGTAGTAGGTTGTAAATGTTTTTCAAATGATGTTTGCCAATAACTCGCCGACGATACATTGTGACCACCATTATGAACCTAAACAGTGTATTATATATATATATATATATGAAAACAAATATATATCCAAATAGTCAGTAGAAAGTTTACATAAATTATGCTTATGAATATATATATATATATATATATATATATATATATATATATATATATCATAGAAAATCGATGACCTCAGAGTTTGAGCAAGTCATCATTGTATATTATATATATATTATTATATGGTCGAATGAGATCGAATAATCGTCTATGGTTCCTGAAAATATTCATACGATTTCTAAGAATAATATATACTAATGAAGTGTAGTTTGTTAGTGTAACTTGAAAGTGCACTAAAAACGAATAGTTTCATCGGCACCTGAACTAGTGATAGGGAGTGAAGTAGTCGAGCGTGTTGATCACTTCACTTATCTGGGGAGTCTCATCAGTGCTGAGGGCCTGGTGACTGACGAAATCTCATCTTGGATACAGAAGGCTCGATTGGCTCCGTCTTACTTTATGGCTATGAAACATGGCCAATGAGAGTAGAAGATATTCGTAGGTTACTGGTTTTTGATCATAGGTGTCTTCGAAGCATTGCTCGTATATCGTGGGACAACCGAGTGAGCAACGCTGTTATTAGGAATCGGGTGCTAGGTAAGAATGGCAGATCAATAGACGCAGTAGTGACACTTCATCACTTGAGGTGGTTGGGAGATGTCTTGCGTATGCCCAACCACCGACTGCCTCGTCGAGCTTTGTTTTGTTGTGTAGGAATAGGTTGGAAGAAAGTTAGGGGCGGCCGAACCAAAACATGGCAGAAAACCATGAAGTCATTGACTAGTGGACTGAGCCATGTCGGTAATTGTCGACTACCTGGTTGGGGTCCGCGAGATGATAATAATCGATGGTTAGAGACCTTGAATGACATGGCTCAGAATCGTTTGCAATGGCGCCGGTGCATTTATTCTTTGTGTTCTCTCAAATCCTAATCTTCCGGGTTCTTCAACACCTCTAGTTTTCACTTTCTAATATTTTTCTCATTTAATCATACTTCTTGAATAATATCTTCTAATCCTAACCTCTCCGATTACTTCTAAAACCCTTACTAACTCTTCTGCTATTGGATTTGAATTGACAATTACATCTCTGTGCTGATGTGGTATGGCGACATGAACTGATGTACCTACGTACGAAGTTCTACGTTGTATCTTACTGACATATATATATATATATATATATATATATATATATATATATATTTAATGACTCTAATATAACCGTGCTAATAATAAAGAGCTTTAAATCTGCAGAGAAGATAATTCGTGGGACCGTCTTTTTGGTTGATATACCTCCTAACTTGCATATATTCTCAGGAAAAACTATGGAGCGCTTCTATTGAATTCCATACATTTTATATGTTTTGAGATGATAAGAGATGTTATAAGAGCTGAAAACTAGTCTGAAAGCATCAAATCAATCATTATTTAGACCACCTTTAGAAACCTTGGAAGCACTGAAACACGACCGTTTCGTCCTGGCATGGAAGACTCATCAACAGTGCGCATCCACGACAAAACGCCCGTCCAGTGTTTCGAGGTTTCTAATGAAAGGTCTAGTAACAGTGATTGATGGATGATTTCAAATGTGTAAAAACACTAATCTCCATAACTCTAATTGAAACTATGGTCGGAAAGTATTTGCACATAAAGATGAATTGATGTGAATAGTTATTGATTGACTTTTTTCTAATATTAACAAGATAAAGTGATATTAAACAGTAATTTGTCGTAATACGTGAAAAATATACTATTGTAGTCAAATTTATGGTACTGAACAGAGCGTGCCTGCCGCCGAGTCTCAGCAGCGGGAACTAGTAAACGCTACACGTCGGGTAGATGCCGTACCCATTCCAGACCAGAAATGTTGAGCAATAAACATCAGAAGACGACTTATATAGAATATTCCATATAAAACATAAAGCGGTTTTCATCAATAAACTTATATTCGTTGAAGAAACACCGTAATACTACCATTGAATTTTTTACACATGGGTAGGTAGGTATATTAGAACACAAGGGATGAAAGATGGAACAGTTTAGTTACGAAGACAGTACAGCATAACTAAGTTAATAAATGAAAATCTAATAGTCAATTTTTCAACTTTAATCACGTTTGTGATATAGTGGAATTTCCCCTCAAATATCACGGATAAATTACTCAGTGTCTTACACTTAAGAATTGAGCTAATTTTATAGGTTTCAGTTTTCTACCAATAACCAGTAGGTTATTTGTTGACAATGTTATTTCTAGAAACATGTTATACACATTCAATTTATTATTCTTAGTACTAAACAGAATTTAAAAACTTGCTTTTTTTGTAAGTGATAAGAACTTATGAAATAAAAACAAATATAATTTAAATTTATTTGCATTACGGGATTGTGAAGATTGTTAAGTTACACATTTTTGAAACCATGAATCGATCAATGTTAGACCACCAATAGAAACCTGCAAGCACTGGACGGCCGTCAAGTCCTGGTATGGGACACATCAGCCGTGCACATCCACGACTCCTGCACCTCGCAGGATTCGAACCCAGGACCTTCGGTATTGTGCGCGAACGCCTAACCATCGGACCACTGGGCCGGCATATAATAGTGTTAATGTCTAACTTGATCAATTCATAGAGTTGCGCAACCTCATGCACAGTCTTGGGTAGTTACTGTCTACATCTGAACAGGTTGAACTTCACTGGTCACGTCTTCCCACTAGAACTGGGATTAAATGCCTCGAATCATATCTTTTAAGTCTAATTTTTTTCAATACTACTAATACTTCTGCTACCACTATGGAATTTGAAGCATAGAATACAACATGATGAATAAGTCCTTTTAGTTTTTTATACAAATATCAGAAAAACCAATTCAAAGAACTAGTTAAGAATGATACTTTTATTTGAATAACTAACGGATAGATCAAATTTTAATGGGGACATATTAATTCAACATAAATATAGTACAGTCATCAATGATATTATTATTATTAAAAATATAAATGAAGTTAGGGAAATAATAGATCTGAACTAGTGCGGAAAATTTTGAGCTATACCACTTAATATAGATATTCAATTATAGATCATGATAAATGGGTGAACTTAGAGTCAATAAAATACTCTGTACAATGACACTTTGTTCAACAGTTCATGACTCTAAGTATTGATAATATGTTTTAGCTTAGCCGCTCCTCTATCTGTTAGCAGAGAGAGCATTGTATGTAGGTCGTCGAAGTAAGCAGCAGCTGAGCGAGAGAGAAAAAAGATCCAAAAATAAAAAAGTCATATCACACACACCACAATCGAACTAACCTCATTTAAATGAATCATTTCCAAAATATTATTTGGACTAGCCTCTTCTGATGAATGTGAAAGGTAGTTTTCTAAATTTGTTATTAAAAAATTATCTTTATGATTATTATTGCTATTATTATTATTATTAATATTATTATTGTTATTATTAGTATTACAATGATTATATATATTTCTTTGATGAAATGAAATTGGTAAAAATTTCATTTCAGTTGTTGAATTTTCAATTTCATGTAAATTTACATTAAAATAATCTTGATGATCAGAAGAAGTTTTATTATTATTATTATTCATTGTTGTTATATGACTATTTGGCATAGTTGTATTTAATCCAATATTATTTATTGGTAAAAAACATCGAAATGCATTAATATTTGGTGAATTAGTTGCATCAAAACGCTGTAGTTAAAGAAAAAAAAGTAGAAAGCAAGTAAATCAAGTAAAAGGATATACCATATCAGTAATCACAATTATATTACATTATGAAAGACATTGAAAACTTCTTAAGGTTCTACTTAATGAGATAGCATAGCTAAGAATTTATATTTCAGTAACAACTGGAAAAACAGTCAGACAGCCGTGTAGGTGATACCCAATCTTGGGGCAGAGTGAAATGATATTCAAAAAGCCATGGAAACAGCATTGATATCTGCTAGTAAGGTAAACCATAAGCTTAAGTATAAGCCGTGGATCTCAGCAGCATCTGCCAAACTGAGAGATGCTCGGAAACACATCTTGTTTGGTTCTGAACATAAAGCCTAAGCAATGATCACGCAAGCAAGAGAGGTGGAAAAGCCATCGGCGATAGGTAACAATAGACAACTGTTCCGCCTTATAAAGGAAACCGGTATTAGGAATCCGAATGTCATTGAGACTATTTCGGAAAATGATGAGGTGATTATTCATTCTCAATCCAGGAGATTGGATTGATGGGCAGAGCACACACTTCGGTTGCCCACGATCTCCAGTCATCCTGAATGGCAGATAGATGTAAGTCCTCCGAATGTTCATGAAGTTGAGAATGCTATAGCAAATCTGAAGTAAGGGAGGGCAGCGGGTCCTGATAGGCTAACTAATGAGATTTTTGTGGATGGCGGTCCAGTTTTAGCAGTAGGATTGACTGAGATCCTAGGTAGAATCTGAGAACTGGACGTAATACCATCTGACTGGTCTCATTCCCTGACTGTCCCAATTTATAAGAAAGGAAAAAAGTCTTCTTGTGACAGCCACAGCGAAATCATTCTAACTAATTGTGTCTAAATTATCAGCCTCGATATTACTTAGACGCCTAACCAGAGCTCGTGAAGAGTAGACTCGAGAGAACCAGGCTGGTTCCAGACCTGGATATGGCTGTATATACCACATATTCACAATATAACAGGTTCCAGAACGTAGACCATGGTTGTCTTCCTTAGCCTCACAATGGGGGATTTGACTGTGTGGATCGTAAGGTTCTGTGGCAGTATCTGTTATTGGAAGGTGTACCAGAGAAGTACGTTAACTTTACACAGGTCCTCCACTCGAATACCACTGGTTGATTAAGAGCTTACGACGAACTGTCATCACAGTTGATTACTTGAAGTGGTGTCTGTCAGGGCTGTCCACTTTCTCCATTCTTGTTGATCTAGTCATAAACATGATTTTAGAGACAACATTATCTTCGTCTGACTTTTAGGGGTGGAGTATCTGCCAGGAGACACGCTTGTTGACTAAGAGTATGCTGATGACATAGTTCTAATGGGCGAAGACGCTGACAAAATGCTATCTTCTGACCACCCTACCCTTCTGCATCGTCGAGCTGTTTTTTGGTGTAGGAGTAAATTGGAAGAAAGCTAAGGGGCGGCCAAACAAAAAAATGGCACAAGTTCTTGAAGTCCCTGACAACTGGATTGAGTCATATTGATAGGGATCGAATGCCTGGTTGGGGTCCACGAGACGATACTAACCGATGGTTAGAGACCTTGAACGACATGGCTCAAAAACGTTTACTATGGCACAGGTGCATCCATTCTTTGGCTTCACTCAAACCCTAATCCTCTAAATTCCTCATCCCCTTTATTTCTTTTTTGAAGTTTATTCCGCTGAATTATACTTCTTCAATAATATCTTTGAACCATAATCTCTCCGATTACTGCTAATACTGCTATCAAATCTAGTACTATGGGATTTGAATTGACAGTTGCATCTCTCTTCTAATGTGGTATGGCAACTTGAAGTGATGTACGTACGTACGAAGTTCTACGTTGTATTTGACTGACTGATGAAAGCCAGTAAGGTGTAACAAAGAATGTTTTATGTAGGCATAATAAGAACGTCGTTTAGATGATCAAGCTTGATAGAAGTATTTCTCACTGTAAGAAGTATCCATTTGGTCTGGTAAGCCACTTAGAGCTTTTTACTTGTATGATAATGATCTCTTAAGGGTCATCACTTAAACTGGGTAAGTCGTGCTATATCAGCTACGGACGCCTGTTTTGTCAATTTCAGTCCAACTGTACCACCAATATGGTTTTTGTAAGGAGCGCTTAATTCATCCCACCTCTCGAAGATTACACAGAGGATCCCTAATTGGATTACAGTTAAGTAGGAACTCCGATAAATTTCAGAATCATTCGAATACTGTGATAGAAAATGTATGGAATTCCGATAACTGTTTCTAGTCCTCCAAATGGAAACGTAGTTTTAGGATTATTTTTCAAATCCAGTCTGTTTGACGATATACATTTAATGTTTTTTTGAAGTAGTACCGTCAGTAGCCTAACAAACAATCAAACTTAGTGAGCTGACTATCGACTAAAAAAAAATATACTACAAGTCTTAGTAAACTCATTCAATCCATTGTACAGACCGTTTTCCTAAACGAGAAACAATAAAACAATCAACGTATTGTGAGGGTTGAACCAAAATTCTGAAGTGACGACGTTAATGACAGCTTGCATACCTTATACAACAGTTATCTTCTCTTCTAGCTTCGAGGTACTCCGAAAAATTACAAATATCAATAAAAATAGATCCGTTTGGAAAAAGAAAAGATTGAATTCACATCCGACTTAATTTAATAATATATCGATTACTTCCGATGACTGTTAATTACATAATTTATCAACTAAATGAGTCATCACTAGGATCTGAAATAACAGTGAGTTAATTCATTTGATGAAACTCATTGAAACTTCAACTAATTTCACACGAAATGAATCAACACAAACGGAAATACACTGAATGGTAATGGATACAATTCACTACAAAAAAAATGCGTAAGTTTTAAAAATCGATTTCTTTCAAAATGGTGTATTTAAAGACTTAAAATATCTAAGAAATCTCGAGACCAGTACTTAAGTGTCTTCTAACTTGTTTTAGTCTAACTAACTAGGAGTTATTTCCATTGGCTATTAAAATTGTGTCAGAGTTTTTGATTGTTACTAAATGTTTTGTAGGTATTTTTGTTGAGACTAAAGTCAGTGTAAAAGTAAAAGATACCACAACCAGTTAATTACTTGAGATGAATTCTGAAAGTGGATTTTCTTTATTTAAGAGATTGTACAAATTTAGAAGCTATCTCTAGATTATTCTTAGTTAACCAACAAGCCTGCTGCACATACAGGCCGCTACTTTTTAGGCAACATAAGTATTCTCACAAAAGTCCATTTTGCCACCACTCCTGCCCCATACGGGAACGCACATGTTGGCTAGATTGGTCTGCAGACAAGTAGACGTCCAAAAAGCACGCACACGAGCAGTGGCCCCCGTTCGGGCACTTATGAATCAACTCGATCCCTCCAACCAATCCATTACCCACAATCCCCAATCGGCAAGGGCGGCAAGGCGGGCTTTCCCAGCTAGACCTGGCACCCCGAAACGGGTTACTGAGCCACCCAGCAGCCGTTTCAACCGTCTGGCCTCCAACTGCCAAGCGCTGATACAATCAATTGGAGCCCTCAAACCCCACATGAAGCTAAAGATCGAGTTTTTCTCACAAGGTCAGCCGGAACGTACACCATCGCCAAGGTTTACTTTGCTTCATTATGCTATTTTACAAGGAAAAATGACCATCGATGTTGTTAATACTTGTTTAATATGAGGTATCAGTTATTTATGATAAGAAAACTGAGGTAATAAATAAGTGTTGAAGTAGGGTATAAAATATCTTCAGACTATTCATTATATAAAGAAGTGAATTTTCAACAACTAGGATGAGTAGTATGTTATTCCAGCATGACTACTACTTACTCAAATTAGCAATGTTAACTATAGTACCATTCTAGGATAGAAGTTATCTGAACAATATATACAATTGTAAACTTTCTGGTTTGAAAATAACAGTCATCTGAAGTCAATAATGAAAACTAAGATGATATACAATGTATAAAGTCGGTTTTGACAAATATATATTTACTTTCTAACCTAATGAACCTTGAAAGTACCATTCTATATCTTTTTTAATTTATGTATGTATTAACTTTTTCCGGTTAGCGTTTTTTGGCAAGTTAGTTTTTGACGGAATGGGGTCGCCAACCCCATGTCCAAACCTCCTCCTTTACCCCGGGCTTGGGAACGGCAGTAGACCCGAAGTTTTTACTGGTAGCATCATCGACAATCAAGGTGGATCCGATGCAGATGTGAGGGCACGGATTGGCAAAGCAAGGACTGCATTTCTACAGTTGAAAAATATCTGGAACGCCAAACAACTTTCAACCAAAACCAAAATCAGGATTTTCAATACAAATGTCAAGACAGTTCTACTGTATGGAGCGGAAACTTGAAGAACTACGAAAGCCATCATCCAGAAGATGCAAGTGCTTATTAACAGTTGTCTACGCAAAATACTTCGGATTCGTTGGCCAGACACCATCAACAACAACGAACTGTGGGAGATAACAAACCAGATTCCAGTGGAGGAGGAAATCAGGAAGAAGTGGTGGAAGTGGATAGGACACACACTATGAAAACACCTAACTGCGTCACGAGACAAGCCTTCACATGGAACCCTCAAGGCAAAAGGAAAATAGGAAGGCCAAGGAACACACTACTCCGAGAAGTAGAGAAAGATATGAGAGGAATGAACAAACATTGGACAGAACTGGAGACGGAAGCCCAGGATAGAGTTAGTTAGAGAAAACTGGTGGGCGGCCTATGCTCCATTAGGGGTAACAGGCGTAAGTAAGTAAGTAATGTATTAACTTGTCTTATTAGCATTTTCAACATGCTTAATCAATTTCATTCTCTTAGTTTAATTTTTTCCAACTTTCTTTAGTTAAACTGATCGGAACAGCAGGAACTTGAATCAACATATGCTTTTCAGAGTATTAAGCTTTTGAACTGTGTTTTAATAAATTTTATTCAAATATTGAATGATTATCTTGCTCGTTTCAAATGTACAAAAAATGATTCAGTTCAGTGTATAAGAGAGTATGAATAAAATTAATTTTCTTGAACATGTTTAATTACCGAAATCGGTTGGAGAGTATTAGTCAGTCAGTCAGTCAATAACAATACAGAACTTCAATGTACGTACATCAGTTCAAGTTGCCATATCACATTGGAGAGTCTGCTTGAAATACACCTGAATGACTTCATTCACTATTCAGTTGGAATATTAACAGATTTTATTTTCTATATAAACGCTTAAAGCTACAAAATATATTATTTTAAATTAACTTCTATATAGTCACTAATGAATTTAGTTGAAATATTCTAGTTATCTGACGTATACAATTATCAATATTATGCGTATATATAGATCAAACTCAGATTACCAATATACATCAAATGTTTCATATTGACCGAAACAGTGTAGTTTTTTTTTTGTACCATCATACCTGAAATCTTATACATTCTCTCAAGAAATTCACTAATAATATGGAAATATCTTATAGCTCTCCTTCATTTATTTGACCGATTACATATCGCGTAACTCGGAATCACGGAATCGGCACATTGTCTTCTCTTACAGTTTCAATTGTAAAATTCATATTTGTTTTATTACCTGACTTTATTGTTTCTTCTTCTCGTATCATACTATCTATAACTAGATGGCTTCTACTCTTATTGACATGATATTTTTATTCACATTTAAAAATGACACTATTGATATATATACATATATATATATATACATAGTATAAATGCTGTCGTTTTTATTATTGATTACCTGATGATTTGTTAAGTAATTAGTTGGAACACCAACATCATTTGGCAAGAAATTCCCAATCACTGCAATATTTTGTTGTACTGCTGTTGTTGTTATTGTTGTTGTTGTTGTTGTTGTTGTCGGAGAAAGAATACGCGTCGGTGTACGTTTTGGATGACTTTTTAATTTAGTTGAACCAAATTTAGTTTGAGCAAAAGTAGCCGCTGTAAAACTTGGAGTAGATGTAGATTTTTGAACAAATGGATTTGATGAATTCAGAGGTGGTTGTATATAGGCTGGATAAGATTTCGGTAAAGAATTTATCAACATTGGATTAAATGATTGATCAAATTTTGAGCATAGAATATTGGAATTCACAAAATTTGTAGTAAATGCAATTAATTCTTTACTATTATGTGTTGTTGTTAATTGATCTGATTGAGGAGGATTCGAGGAGGAACGATGAAATGTAGGGAATGTATTATGCATTTTAGTAGCATTAAAAATAATCGATTGAGTAGTGGATGGTATTCCTCCAATCGAATCATTATTACCTACGGTAGGTAGAAAAGATTCTTTCGCATGTTTAGAAACACCCCATGGAAAGGAAGTAGTATTCACAATTGTTGACATTTCTTTTTCATGATACATTTCAGTTTGCAAAGGATTTATTGACTCTAAATCAGATTCATTTAATTCAGTTCTAGATGGTTCGTCTTGATTGATTATAGATGTGCCAATTACAGAATTTTCATTATCCCAGTTTGTATGGTTCATAGTTAAAGAACTTACTTCATATACTGTAGTATTAGGCTCAAATTTGGTATCAATTCCTTCGTCAGGTTCAACTAAGACACTTAATGCAGTGGCTGTAGACAGTAAATCACCATGATCATTTTCGAAACGTTTTAATTTTGTTAGAAAGTAATTTCGTTTACTTTCATCCAACATATTTGAATTATTTATATTCCATTCATCTTGTGAACTGTAAAGAACTTTGTGAGTGATCTGAGATGAATTTATTAAGTTTGATGATGAGATAGAAGATGCAGAAGAACATCCTGACGATGATAAAGAAACAGATGATGATGTCCAGTGATTCGAAGGGATTCTCTCATGAAGTGCACAATTAGACCGGTTGTATTGGCACACCACATGTCCTGGATCCACGCTTATAATAAGACCTTCTGGAAGACATGTTTCTATTTCACTCCATTCTAACCCACTTACAGCTGCTGCTTCAGGAAGTAAGATATCTACCTGAGGACCGACAGAATTAATGCACCGATACGCAGAATCTCTAAGTGGGTCACTAGGGTACCAGTGGTGTTGAAATTTGGCTAGAAGATACCTTTCAAGTTCTTCACCGAAACTATCAACTCGACGCCTCGGAAGCTTTGTGTATAAATGTGATAGTATATAATTTACTGCAACGGTTATTTCCACATACATTGATAAATAGAAATACAGAAGTTTTATATTCAATTGTTTGTCAAATGCACTCTTTCAGAACAACTTCATTCCAAAATATCTACAGAAGTCATAAAAAAATGTATTTTAAGGTTATGATAGTACAATAATGGAAATTTGTTAGTTTACAAAATTAAGAAAATGGTAGTAATACATCTCAATAAAAAGGTACTACTTACATGATGCAGAATTTTCCACTAACTTTTAAAAGAACTCCACAAATCAAGCATTAAAAACTAAACAAATCTAGTTTATGCATCAAATTGATTCATGGACAGCTGATGAACTATCGATTTATTGAAATATATTTAAACAGGTTTATCGGAAATAATCGATTCGCTAGCGAATACTCACGTCTTGTCAGATAGACATACGGCTGATACTATTGAGAATTCAAAGCATAGGATAACTTAGACCACGGCTGATAAGCTTCACTGAAGTAGTGATATTCGTGACATGTCTAAACTTCGCATCTGACTGACCAGAGTGAAATTTATCCTTATCTGAATTCTCATTGGTTTAAAGTAATGTGCATTCTAGCCTACTTTTCAAGGTCAACGCTCGTGCCCAAATAGGATGTGTCTTTCTATATATTGGGTTTATTAAATCGCTCTATTCTCATCAAAGTTGTAAATGGGGGCAAAGTATAAGTTGTAGCTAAACTATTTTGACATGCAACAAACAGATAAATGTGGAGTCACTGTTGTACACTGACAACTAGAAATTTTTATGTTGCACAACCTCCTTTCTAATCCTGTTTGTATAGTTCTTACATAAAGAAAATGTTTGATTTCCGAAGTATTGCATTACATAGGAATTTTTCCGATAAGCGATTTTTTCTCTGGTTCCTCGGGTGTTTTTACGAAAACCAACACTTTTATTTACTTAACAACATGCCAGTTTTTATGCACCATAAAGAACCATAAACAGCAACACCGAACACCTACCATCATATAGCATCTCATATACGTTAGCTTTAATGATTCGTTGAATAAATAATTTGATAACAGTGTCGTTTATTTTACATTTGAATATGTTTGCATGCTTACTCGCTTAACACTTACTTATCTAGCCTATTATTGCTTGACTATAAATACTCAGTCATGCTTCATTGCTCGGTGTTGGCTCACTCGCCTTCTTCGCTTTGCCTGTATACTTTTCATTCTCATGTCAGTCTGCGTAAATAAGCGCATGAAATAAATCCATCTGTACAGCCGTATTTGGCTTCTTATTACTGTCGGTGCACTAACGGGGTTTACCTAAGTACACTATACGGAAATGGAAAGGAAGATTTATTTCATCACAAACTAGACCATTCGTCCAAACTTAAGTCAGATCTTGAGTCACTGAAGTGGTTATGTGCAAACGACCAATACCACTTCCTAAACTCCAACTTTTGAAATCATATCAGAAATCCATGAAGTCATTGACGAGTGGACTTAGTCATGTCTGTAATTGTCGACTACCTGGTTGGGGTCCGCGAGATGATAATAATCGATGGATAGAGACCTTGAGTGACATGGCTCAAAATCGTTTGCAATGGCGCCGGTGCATTTATTCTTTGTGTTCTCTCAAATCCTAATCTTCTGGATTCTTCAACTTTGTAAACTTTTCCCACTGAATCATACTTCTTGAATAATATCTTCTAATCCTAACCTCTCCGATTACTTCTACTAATGGATTTGAATTGACAATTACATCTCTGTGCTGATGTGGTATGGCGACATGAACTGATGAACTTACGTACGAAGTTCTACGTTGCATCTGACTGACTGTGCTTATTAGCATGCACAATCGTGTAATACTCGGTTATTTGGGACAATTGTCCTCCGCAAACGGTGAAAACTATTGGTTGATGGAAACGAGCTCAGTGGTTGAGAGTTTAGGTATCTGTGTTGAAATCTTAAGATTTAGAATCTGATCCCTGGTTGTGGGGTTGTGAAAGCAGACTCGGATGACAACTATCTAGTGTGTCCTGATTTCCAATGGTAATCCAACTAAGATTAGTTTCTGAGTTAGTATGATATGCTTTTAAGTTCGGCCATAAAAAGACATTAACGCGCAGAAAAATCTTGTAGTTCATTTACAAAATCAATGTGGTCGCTGTGCTAATTCGTTTTCTTTGTCAATAATACGCAGATACACATTAAGCTTAACAAGATTAATATTAACTCGTCATCTTCGCGGTTTTTCATCAACTGCTTACAAACCACATAGAGTATAACTAGTTGTTAAAGAATACGAATTAATTTACGTTGATAGCCAAAGGAATTATAGGCACAAAACCGTAATAAGTACATATATATTCATTTGAGAACACGAGTGGTCATTTTGATGGCACAGTTCATAGGTAGCAATAATATATGGTTCTGCGAACAAGATCTTACGCGGTCATAATGAAGTGATTTTTCAGCTAATGGTGTCCTACTTAGGAGTTAGAAAAAAAAACAGTCTCGTATGGTGTACTCAGCTAATTCAAAATTTTTCGAGAAACTAACCTTCAAGTGATCGTGTGCAAACGGCAAACACCACTTTCTAAACTCCAACATTTGAAATCATCCTAGAAAACACTGTTGTAAACGCATTACAATTTAAGCCCTTGTTATTGCCTACATGCTTTACTCTAACATATAGGTGGGTGAACTTGTATATGGCCACTAAGAGCGAATAGTCTGTCTACATTGCTCAACCTCAAGTGCATTCATAAATCATCAGGTCAAGTTGGAGATTTCGGTTTCATAGGCATAGAACAATTAGTAGGCTATTGCTTGTTAACTATTCAGTAAATGTCGAAGGGTTCGACTAATTGGATCTCCTATATGTTTGCCGGTTTTCTCAAAAATATCGAAAATGTAATAGGACAGTTTCATAAGTTGATAAATGCCATTCAAATTCCTCTGAATGTTTTGTTGGTCAGCGTTCTATGAGTCTACTGGTCGGATTTATCAAATCCCGAACTGAGTCTATCTACGGTAATAAACAAGCGCTATATGACAAAATAAGGATTTTCAAAAATTCTCTATTATTCGTGACTACTTATTTACTTTGTTAGTAGTATAAATTTCCTTCGAGCATTTTTAGGTCTCTTCACAACTTTTGTTTTGTTGTAGCTGAATATGGTCCACCAACTGTCTGACTACAATCATGGCAGTCAGTATAGACGGCAAACTCAAAGGGCCTTCATACCTCACGGTTTTATCCTCACTACTGGAATGAATAAGAAATTATTGTCAAGTTACATAAGTTCTCTATTGAAATCATTCAAGAATGTTTCATAATTTTATTAGTGAAGCAATTCACGTTTCAAAAATATTAGTATTTCAGAGTTTGTATCAATTAAGGTCTACCTTTTTTATCAGTAATATAATCTGTTATAAATTTTGATGGATTTCACTACCTCTTTGGAAATCATATATTATGCTCAACTCTGCCTAAGTAATGTCTTAAAGCATTTTCAATTAGAGTTACGTAGATTGGTGTTTTTACACATGTGAAATCATCAATCAATCATTGTTAGACCACCACTAGAAACCTGAAAGCACTGGACAGCCGTTTCGTCCTAGTATGGGACTCATCAGCAGTGAGCATCCACGACTCCTGAACCTCGCAGGATTTGAACCCGAGACCTTCGGTATTGTACGCGAACGCCTGAACTCTGGACCAATAAGCCGGCATCCAACAGATTTAATGTATAACTCTGATTAATTTAGGTATTTTGCGCAACCTCACGCATTTGTCTTTGGTAGTTACTGCCTACACCCGAGCAAATAATTCACTTGAACAAAGCTTTTCGTACGTATCTATCTTTAAAAAAAAACTGAAAAGCTGCTGACATTTTCAAGAGGGGAACTATAGTTTTAAACTTTATTCTTGTATAGTTACTATAAATGAGTTATCTATGCAAAGAAAATAAAATTCTAACTAATCACTTCCTTCTTTATGTTGTAAGGTTCTTCAAATTCAAAAAAAAGCATCTATTAAAATTGTCCGGTAAGGATTTTCCTCCACAGTAATAACAAACTGACTGCAAAATTTTGAGTAAATTTAAGAATGGGCCCATTTTGATAAAAGATGATAAATTTTAGTCTACATATATCCAGAAAAAGGACAAAAACTAGTAATGTAAAACAGTATGTTGGATAACTACATGAATTTATTATCAAGCAATCGATAACGTCACACATATTCTAATGAGATTGTGAATTTCTTATTTTCAAACAAATGTTGACTAAAAAAAAGCCTTAATCTGGGTAAGTTTTTCTTAAATCCTCTTATATAGGAAAAACAGTGGATCAAAGTAATGAAACGATTAATGGTTAGAAGATATCCAATATCAAAATAAGTTAGTAGGGATTTTGAAATTTCTGATTAAAATTAAAATTCGTCATTTATATTTGTATGATATATTGTTGTCTTCGATCAGATCGTCATCAGGCTTTACTCTAATATACATGAATATTTTTATAAAAATGTTAAACCAATCAAGGCAATTTGAGTGATAATCACAATGAAATGAAAAAGGCATAAGTACAAGTGGATAGTAGGAAGATATGTGAACCGATAGTAGTAAGAAAAGTAGGTCAAGGGTGGATGAATAGAATTCAAACAATCATCAAAAAACATCAAAAACATTACGTAATAAGCAGATGTGTAAAAATAATAATAAAAATAATAAAATTAAAATAAATAAAATATATATAATGTCAATCGTTAGTTACGTCATATCCGGCCACGGAAGAGATAGGGGTGTCACGAATTTCTTCTGAACACAAAAAATAGGGTTGAATGTGCGTATTCCTATGGCTTCTGCAGTGTGTAGGAGACGGGATCGAACTCCGTTAAGAAATGATGGAGGTATACGATAGATCACCCGAAAAGATCTAGATTTATCTACAATGTGATGATTATTTGAATTCTATTCATCCACCCTTGACCTACTTTAGTTATATTTTATAAATTTTCTTACTACTATCGGTTCACATATCTTCCTACTATCCACTTGTACTTATGCCTTTTTCATTTCATTGTGATTATCACTCAAATTGCCTTGATTGGTTTAACATTTTCATATAAATATTCATGTATATTAGAGTAAAGCCTGATGACGATCTAATCGAAAACAATATTGTTCGCTTATATGTGTTGTTCTAATTTTCACAATGGGAATCTTTAATATTGTTGTCTGTATAAGTAGATCAGTAATGATCTGTGTGAAAAATGTAAAACCAATTTTTAACTGATTCATTCAACGGATTACAGTTATTCATGTTATACTATCCGAAACTAGAG